ATAGGTTAAAAACGAATACAAATACTAAATTACTTTATACTTAGACTCTATGCAATCTTTTTCAGTTTGATTTTTTAATACTATCGAATTACAATAATCTAAACATATTTATAAAAACATGATAGCATACATGACAAAATATAATCTTCAGGAGTAAAATGTTTCGAACATACTACCATATACTTCGTAACTTTTTTGCCAATTCTTAGCAGTCGAATCCACTCTTTCCGTCGGTTACATTTCTGAGATTCTCCGAATTCTGATTTACGAAAAATCATCTGTTTTTCATGTGGGAATACACGAAAACTTATATCGGGATCGCGTATGGCTTTGGAATTACAATTTGGAACACAACAGAAAGCTTTACTTTTACTTTTACTATTCATCTCTACTGTTGACAATATACGAAGAACATTCAAACGACCCAGATAGAGTAGTTCTGTTTTTAAACACCAGAGGGCGAGCAACCGGTGAAAACCGCGAATAGCATCAATGCCCCTTATATATAAGCTACCCTGACAAATTTCGTTTCTTAATCTTTACCCCATCTTGAGATATTAAAGGAACGCCAAAACACAGACAGACATCTCCACGAAATTGTTTCCGTTTTTTCTCCCGTTAAAATATAGCTATTACTTTTCCGTAAAATTATATAATAATAAGTATAATAAAGAACAAGTAATCACTTTCCAAAGCTGAAGTTTAAATCCATTTTTAAAAAAACGCTCGAAGCGCCCCACAGCGGAGAATTATAACAAAATGGAGGATTCTATTTTCGGCGACTTGAAGTATGTATAAGATTGTATTTTTCAATTATTCCTATTATATATTCTGGAACAAATTATTTTAATTATACGTAAAAACGAGAAATGTTAACGAAAATTTTGTATAAAATATATAATAATAAAATTTTAACAACAAATAAAATTTTAAGTAGAAGTTACCTTTAGGTAATATCTATGTATTTACATATTGATCAATTACTTAAAAGTAACTTTTACCCTTTGATGTGGGTTGAAAATTAAAGCATTGTTCCATTGAATGTTATAGATCCTTAAAATGAAAACAAGATAAATTTAAATACTTTAAATGCATACCCATATTAATTAAGAATTGTTGATAGTTTTTATATAGGATTGAAAAATATAGAAAGACATGCTACAAATTATATGACAGTTTCTAAACAAATTACAAGAAGGAAAGTTAAATGCTAGATTATAAACACATAATGACATTGGGGTGAATAATATACAATTTAAATATAAAACCAATGAATTAAAATGGTATACAAATGTCAACAGTGGTATAGTCAAGTTGGGTTGGCAAATTTTAGAGGGGAAAAAAGATCGCTTTCGTCAATACGGCACGAATGCAATAAATAAGCACAGGAGGTGGGGCTCAGGAAGACAGTATTTAGTTTTAGGTTATTCTTATTATTGGTGGTGAACTGACATTAATAGACAAGGAATTACAACTTATTAATAGGGTGTGCACAATGCTGGTTATTCTCCTTTCAGGTTTCATTATCTCCATAACTGTGTCAAAAAAAAATGTTTCCACAGTCTTTCCTCTGCAACAAGGAAGAATGAAAGATAGTACAACCTCCAATATTGTCTTTTGGGCCCTGTATTGCTAAAAATAGCACATATTTTCAGAAAACATGGCTTTACTTTGCCTATAACCCCACAACCAACACTAAGAAGAGTGTTATGCAATGATAGAGATACTCTCACATTAAATGAAAAATTGAGGGTCCACAAAATTCCATTAAAACATGCACTGTTGGGAGGAAATTATCTGCTTAGGAGCTACAACCAGAATGCTATGGTCCTGCTTCCTGGAACATCAAGAGGATATTAGAAACAATAGACCCACAACAGAGTTAGCTAAAAAGGTACTAGACTAGGTTTATCTATCGCTTTTGGCACACACTAAATTACTTAAGTGGTGCAACGATCGAAGAGAATCATTCATATGGGAGAACCTTTATATATCCGCTGTAACATCATGCAATACATCGACTTTAGAAATCTTGCATCTGTGGATAACATTATTTAAACATTTTAAATTATGATTTTTGCATTCTCATTTGTACCACGATATACTCAAATATACTTAAAAAGCAATAAAGTGCACCAAATACGATGCACTTTATTGCTTTTAAAGTATATTTGAGGATATTACATCATTTGCAGTGCTTTTCTATAAATTTCAAATATTTTTCAATTTTAAAATCAATTTATTCTGAATTCCATCCATATGCATTAGATAATTTCAAAAGTCCGTTCAAAAGCCGAACATTCAAAAATAATTGTATTTGATTTTTCGCCTGAAGATGGTAGCTATAAACTATTGAAATTGACAGTGAATATGTCTAAAATCTAAGTTGCACTTTGTAATGCCACAACACTGAAGTGTTAATTATTTTATTTATTTGAACATTTGTCTGAAGTGTATTTTACGATCTTTAATTGCTAATACTTTTAGTTTATGTTTTAAAGCATAAAGTATTTTTGCATGACAATTGTTTTCATTAAATTTCAAACTTTTTAAGTTATGCATCCACATAAAATATATATTCTTATACATAAAGTATTTTTGCATGACAATTGTTTTCATTAAATTTCAAACTTTTTAAGTTATGCATCCAAATAAAATATATATTCTTATATACTGATATTATGGATAATTGGAAAAATTAATATTAATGCTAGTGATAAATTCGAATTACGTAAGCTTGTATCACGCGGAATATGATGTAGTAGTTGAGTAAGTTTTCCTTTATAATTNCATTTGATAAAATTTAGTACTTCATATATATATTTATTTATTTAAATTAAACAAATTATAAATAAAGTAATTACAACAAAAGGTGAAAATTTTGATACACTGTTATTAATACAATTATTTTAAATCAATTTAACCATAGTCTGCCTTCTATGCCTGGAATAAAATCTTCGTGTGAAGCTGAACTTTTGAAGCTAATAGCTGAAATCAATCTTGTTGTGTCCAAAAAGTATCAGATATGGAAAAAAGAACTTGAAGTAGTAAAATCAAACTTAAATTCTCAAAAACAAGAGAATGAATTTTTGAAAGCTGCTTTGAAATCCAGCCAGAATGAGGTAATATAATTAAATTTATTAATTTTGCTAATTTGTCAATCTATGTTTTTCATCACTTCATAATTATTTAAATTGTTTTCTAACAATTACTGAGTTTTAAAACTGTTTATTTAGTAACAAAGCTTATTTGAAACTTTTCAAATTTAACTAAAATTTTTAAAGTTAATTAAAATAATAAAATAACACCATCCCTCATAAATTACTTCAAAACATGCAACAGTTACATTCAACTGGTGTACACAATATAGTGTTATTCCACAAGTTAATATAATTGTTTTTTAATTAAAACTTTAATTTATTTATTAACCTTTAAACTGTTATAGAACCTTAATATGCTCTTGGTTAATAAGAAAAGAACAACCAAATAGATGTTATTTTTCAAACTTACATATATGCAGTACAAAAACAAAATTTGTGTTATATGCACAAATGATATATTTCTGTGCATGTAACCTATGGCTTATCTGTGTTTAAAAGACAGTTTGAAATGGATAAAGAATATGTGATGAGACAAGTTATATATTAATTTAAATTGAAATTAGGAACCATATGGAGCAATGGCTGATCTATAAACCAGGTAAGGTTTTATTTTTGTTTTAATAATTTTCTGCATTTACAATAACATCATAGATTATATATACACATGAAAATATAATAGTTGACGTAAACAGCGTACATATCAAATACATGTAGCGTATGTAGTTGCAGTTATCAATGCCAATAAATCTATAAACTTCTATGTTCCGGCGTAGTAAACACTAGTATTGTGTTGTATTCCAAAGACACATGTCAAGTTTTCCATCAAATATCTTTATTAGTTGAGTCGATGCATTTTTAGGTACTCATCAAACAAAAATGCAAAGAAGCCAACACCAGGATTACAGACATGAAGAGAAAATACAAGGTGAGATAGAAAAACTTTCTATAGACTTGAACTACCTAAAAATGCATCGACTCAACTAATAAAGATATTTGATGGAAAACTTGCCATGTATCTTTGGAATACAACACAATACTAGTGTTTACTATGCCAGAATTATAAAACAGGACACGGTTTCAAAAAACAAATCAAATTCTTCTATGTTATTGTTTAAAGTTTTATTAATATGTTTTGCATTTAAGTTTTATAGCTTCAAATGTTTTTAAAACTGTAACATTTTTAGTTTTTTTTTTATTGATATTATTTATATTTGTATTGGTTATAGACATGACAACTGTTGAAAGTAGTTTGTTTGAAATTTCAAACATTGTAGCTTTTTTCCAAACAGGTGGCATAGCAATTTGAATAGTATGAATTAAAACATTATTTTAATTTAATTGAAATTTAGAAATCCAAGAAATATATTACCAGAAATATAGACAAAATTATTTTTTCTACATTACAAGATCAAATGAATGTTTTGTGATTCCAAAATAAAGTTTTTGGTAATATAGTTCTTTTGATTTTGTGTAAAATGATGAATTGCAGTTACTGTTTCAATAGCACCAATTCTTGCTGCAATTTTGTATCTTTTTGTTTTTTTTTTTTATCTATCAAATTTTCATATGTTGATCGAAGGAACTTTGATTAAAATATATATCATATAAATTTTTGTTTCTTATGAATATATCTAACATGAATTCATAAATGTCCATATTTTAGTTTATATTTTGTTAAAGATTGAACATATCCCTTTATGTTTTTTTTTTTAATTTTCTTTACACAGATAGAGGAACTCAGAGATCATATACATACATTGGAGAATTCACAAGTTGATTTGAAAAAAAAGTATGAAAATGAACTTTCAGAATTAAGAAATGAGGTATTGCACAACTTTTTAAATGATCTTTTATCTTTTAAATAAGAATTCTTCAGTAAAATTTATTATGAGTTACATTTATAATTTTTATTTAAAATAAAAGTCTAAATTTTATTACTTTGGCTATTATTATTATTTTCTAAATATTTAAATAATAAGGTTTCCATAAAATTTTATTAAAATTGACTTTTTCAGCATCAAATTTACATTTTTGTCAAATGATCATAACTGTAAAAGGCAAAAATTTTTTAAATGGCTTTTTAGATAATTAAAGTGTAAAAGCATGACAGCAACTTCAGTATAATCATATAACCATATTACATTCAGATAACATGAAATGACAAAAATTCTGCCATTTTAATTATTTTTTTTAAGAATTAAAAATCAGAACATTAGTTTATAATCAAATCAAAATTGTTAAGTAAATAAATTATAGTAGTAGTGAGTAAGTTTAATTATGAAAATTAAATATCACAAACTTTTAGAGAGATGCAAAATTTTCTATTTAGAAAAAAAAAACTTTAGTTATAGAAAAATTTAATATCCTTAATGAATTGTGAGATCTTCAATCTTATTTTATATTTAAATTGAATTAGTTTAATAATATTGAATAATTGATATATTTAATAAATTAAGTAGTGTTTAAATTTTGAAAGATTGAAAGTATAATATATACTAAATAAATACTAATAAAATTGAAATACATTTTTAAAAAACTCATAAATACATAGAATTAATTTCCTTTATTTAAGCATATCAATGATGTTTAATATTATTTATATTTCTATGCGCGTACTAAATATAAATATTATTTACATTTAGTACACGCATGCGCTTTAGCATTAAGTTGTAAATAAGCGATGTGAAATTTTTTGTATTTTTTCGAATACTTTGTTCGTTATATAGTTCGAATTTTGAACTGAAGAAGATCGATTAAAACAATTGAAAACGTTTTTCAACGCATTAAAATTGTGCTGGAATAGAGAAAGGTGTTTGTTTATTTTTTATATTTCTTTTCTCTAAAAGACATTTTGATGTTTAAAGCACTGGTTAAGACCAATAATGATTGTGTTACAGTGGCAACTTGTGGTGTATAATTTGAGGGTGCTGTTGTAGCACGCAGCATGCAACTCTAATAGGATTTGTTTTAATTTCATATAATGTTTTGATCAGTGCTGATTTCAATAAAAACATTAATTTTAACTTAAACTTACTCAAAACAAACAGTGATCCAAACACTATACAAAATCAAAATGGTTCTCTTAGGGCCTTCTCCAAAATGGGCTCTTAGCACCTTCATATAAAATGCCATGAGCTACCATGGTGCATTATCAACTACACTTTCAGTGCTGATAGCATAAAGATAGCTTTAAAATGACCTATTGTAAATAATAAGTGTAATAAATGACTAATTACATTAAGTTTCTATAATGTATTTTAACCTATATTTTTTGAACTTTCTAATTTTAATAAAATTAAAAAACTGATAACAATATTGATATTGTAATAAACAGAATCTATAATATATATATACATAGTGTGTTTATACATAGTTATTGCATAAAATATCCATTAATTGTAATTAATAAAAATTTCAATAAATACAGTAAACCCTACTAACTTAGATTAATAGGGGATGAAGGTTGTCTGAGTTTACAAAAGTTCAAGTTAGAAGGAATTCTTCTCCAATGACATGGAAAACAAGAAGGTAGACATACAGTACATTAATTCATTACAGTCACCTCTAATTTTACAGAAATTTTACTGAGCTTTATTTAGTAGGTTATACTGCAGAATTTATTATTGCAACAAATTTCAAAAATTTCACGACACTAAAAGTACAGTTTTTGCTAATTTATGACTATAGTAATATAATTCATGGTATTGCAAAGACTTTAATTATTGATTGTTTTTTATATTTGTAATTTTTCTATTGTCAAGAATTTTAATTATTGTGCAATTTTCAAAAAAATTTGTCCAAATTACCAGCGGTAATTGTAATATAAATTTTTCATCTACAGTAGACTCCCCTATAACACTTAGATATGTTCCACTTTATAAGAATTTTACGTTGTAGGAATCCTTAAATACATGAGTTAATCACAGCCCAACACGTGTGAAGTTTATGGACTAAGGCTGTTTGAAAGGTTTTCTTCCATAAAATTAATCAATTCTAGACTAATTCGACTCAACATTTCCAAAACACGTATAATTTTTTGGGAATAATCCGTATAAACTATGCTATAAACAAAAAATTGTAGGATTACTTGCCGAATGTGCACCGTTTGACTTCGCCGTTGCTTACGCTTGTTTTCGTCGCGGAGCAGCACACCAAACAGCAGCCACGTTTTCTGATAAATTATTTTTCTGCGAAAAATTTGTTGACCTTTGGAGACATCATTAATAGAAATAATTTTTATGGCCGTTGAATAAGAAGTGTTTCTTTCACAAGAAATGTATAAAATTAGTGCTGTATTAGACTTACGGTACCTAATTTACATACTGTACAGACGATAGTAAACTCAACTTACTCGCCTAAACTCTCCGTAGCGTGGCGCTGGACGGCGGAAAGTATATATATAATTATAATAAAGTTACAATAAATTAAGTTAATATATAATTATATATACAGTACCTAATTTATATATAATTGATATATAATTATATGTACAGTACCTAATTTATATATAATACTGTACAGACGATAGCAAACTCAATTTACCCGCCTAAACTCTCCGTAGCGTGGCGCTGTACGGTGGAAAGTAGTTCGGCTGCTCATCTACTATTGGTCCAGATTCGACCAATCTTGTTGCGACACGAGTCGGTGACGACGTTTTACGAGTCCCTTTATACGAATACTGCCGCAATTTTTTTGCTACGTTATAGGAATTTCCATTATAGAAACCCACGTTATAGGGGGGTCAACTGTATTTCAAAAATATTTATAATGTTACTATATGAATTTTTGTTGTTGTTGTTATGAAATGTGGCAAATGAATGTGTTACATTTATACATTAATTGAAAACAGTTATTAAAATGTGTTAATAAATGCAATAGAACCATAAAATTTTTATTTAATTTTCAGGTAAAAAAGTTGAATTCTGCAAGAGCTGTTCAAACACCAGCATCCAAAAGTGATGTCTATTATGCTTATAAACAGATTTCTCCTGATAAAAATGTAAGATTATTAATGAATAGTTGAATAATTATACATATCATAACATCATTATTAGTGTCTTATTAATTTAATCCATCCAAAATATATTTTAATATATTTTAATTTAATCTAATTCATTCAAAATCATAAATATAGAATATATTCTATATTTATGATTTTGAATGAATTAGATTAATAAGACACTAATAATAATGTTAAATGAATAATTATACATATTATATGATATTTTTCTATATTGTGTTTCTTTTTTCTCTCCAGTGAAATAAAATTTTTCATATTGTAATTAACCAATTAAATAATTTTATTATTATCTATTTATGTTAAAAATTACTACAGGCAAGAAAGTGACCTTCCCATGCAACAGAACAAACAATTACCTAGATTAAAACAAAGAAATAATAAAAATGCAATACTAAGATAAACAAAATTATTAAAAATTATAAAATTATGCGCATAAAAATATAAAGTACTTGTACCAGTACTGTAAGTAAGATTACAACCAGCCTTAATTTTATCTATACTTTTATAATCTCTTTGGTTATGCATGCAATCTCCAACAGATGACATTGAAAATTTAATGCTTTTTCGATGGGAAATCCTTCTTCAAAATTCTCAAAAATGGAAACAGATAGAACCAAACAGTTTCCGAATTATAATCCCATTTAATTTTGAAAACTAAATTTGTTAATTTTTTATGAATTTTAGTATAGAAAATTAACAAATTCAATTTTCAAAATTCTGAATTGTAAATTTTTAAATAAATGTAATAAAAAACACAAACTGTATAAAATTTAATGAAATAAACAGCCATCCACTGATGCTCAACCCTTCCCCCTCCCCCTTGTTTGACTTTTGTCCAATTAGTTGAAACCTCCTCCCTCCCTTTCATATAAATATATTGAAGGAGAAAGGTAAACTGGCTGAAAATACATTGGATGAGGATTTGGAAAAGTACACCATATACTATTTTATGAAAGTCACAGAACTTAAGACTTTAGATTTATCACCAACCAGTCACAGGAGACTGCCAAAATTTGAAAGAACCACACTAATACCTTTGTTTAAAGATGTCAGACCAATTACATATGAAAAATATAATATGATGCAGTTATGGCCTTATGTACTTCCTATGTATCATGAATATTTCAAAACACTTCCATAAAAAAGAGCCGAAATGAAAAGCAGTGTCAAGTGATAAGCTCATAACAATGATAAACTTATCAAAAAATAGTTTAACAATAAGTAAGGATTTTTAATGTTGAGAATAAACAACAATATTTTATTTCTTGTTATTATTTGTAAACAAACTCAAAATAAAACACAATGTATTTCAAGTAAAATTGGATTTTAGATAATTGAAATTTAATGACTTTACACCACTTTCATAATTATTGAACTGTAAGTTAATTTATGACCCAGAAAGAATATATTGATTTAGTTAAATTCACATAGAAACATTGCCAAATTAGTACACTTTATTTATATTTTTGAATCAACTAAAATGCAAACTTTTAGATATCTTGAAAAAAGACAAAATGGATACCACTTTCAAAATAAACAGTTCAAATGTTTATAATATTGATATATTAAATTTTAGAATGTCAATATACTGAAACCAATAAAATACTGACTTATCGACAAAGTTGAATATTGGTATTTATTGTCAATGATAAGCAACTCTACTTGTTTCAGCATAACAATTTTTCCAGCTATCAGAAGATTGCACTACAGTATTAAGAATTTGTGAGCTGTAACAACCCCCTTAAGAACTTTTTAACATCTCCATTACCAACATACCAATATTCACTATCTTTCAGTGTGTCAATAATAGATGCATTCAGTGAATAAAAAGTATGCAGCACTTTACTAGCACTATAAAGCAGCATTGTAAGATTGGTTAGATGTGTTCAGTTCCTTAACCAACAAATGTAGTAGTGATTCAGAACTCAGAAGCATAATTTTAAACATTTATACATGATATATTTCTGTATTTGTAATTCTCTTTTGTTCTTCCACATTTATAGTTAAACTGAAGATTTGTTTGTTGAATTTTAAATTTAAATTTGTTTTCACTCCTTTTTAAGCACAACAGAAGAACAGAAAAATGTTTTAATAAAGAACTTAATCATCAGAGTAAAAGATCAACTTGAACAATGGCAGACTGCTTAAAGTGCTGGAAGAGTGATGTCATGTAAGCCCCTTCTCTAAAGTACTGCAGCACTGCTGTTCACTGAATACATCCATTCTAAAATTTAAAATATCAATATCAATTTATCAGTTTCACTTTGATATTTTGGTTATCAGCTTAGTATTAATAATCTCCATTAAAGTTCAATTAGCATTACTAAAATAGTTATCTGAAATGAATCCAACAATTATTACTAATTTAATAAATATAAGTAAAAAACATTGGTAATTCATATCAAAATTGAATTTGGTAAATAGTTCTAGAGATTGAATTTAACTACAGTTTACTAATTTAATAAATAAAAGTAAAAAACATTGGTAATTCATATCAAAATTGAATTTGGTAAATAGTTCTAGAGATTGAATTTAACTACAGTTTACGATAGCTGCAGACTGTCTAGGACCATCGAGAAGGGACGGAAGTTGAGTACTTTCTCCCGGACCCGAGAAAACTTACAGACTCAAAGTGCTTCCCATCGCTATAAAATTAATGTTATTTTTACTGACAGAAAATAAAATCTTTAAGACTGTTTTTATTAATAAAAAACATTCTATGCATTTCATTTGTTCAAAAAGCAATCATTACCTCCGGTCATTATACAAACATTGGTTGTATAAGGACTGGACTTGGTTGTATAATGTAATAATCGACGACCTTGGTTGTCCTATTTTTTCCCATTTTCAATATAAACTGCTTTTCGCAAGTGGTCATAAGGCTGCGTTCATAGCCTGATGTTCAATACTAAATTTAATAATGCTGTTAAAACTCTAAAGATTTATATTGCATACAAGTGAGGAAATTTCCTATCTTAAGAAAAAACGATCACAATATAACATTATTTTAAAATAACATTATCAGCCTTGAGCACATAAATAAATTTAATATGTTTGAATAAAACGCTATACAGGGATCAATTAATAAAAAAATTAAGATTTGTAAAAATTTTATNAGTTCAATTAGCATTACTAAAATAGTTATCTGAAATGAATCCAACAATTATTACTAATTTAATAAATATAAAAATATAAATATGACTTTACAAAGATAAAACTTTGCATTTTGTCCTTCCTTTTTGTCGTTCACAACATCAGCAGTCCTTAAATAATTTACAAAGTTTCGGAGACAACCTTTCTTTTGAGGCTATTGCCTCTGCAAACTGCTGATGGTGTGAACAGCGAAAAGGAAGGACAAAATGCAAAGTTTTATCTTTGTAAAGTCATATTAATATTTTTTATATTTATTAAATGTGAATAACACTGGCCATGTACTTGTATTCGTTTTTATTTAAAATCATTACTAAGTTGAATAGCATAAATTATGCCATATGATATTATCAAATGAAACTTCTTTTAATGGAAAAATGACAACAGTGGAGTCTGGTGAAGTTAAATCAGAAGAGAAGAGTTTCAGTTTATCTGACTTTCTTACCTAGGCAAGGAAAAGTACTAACCAAATGTGTCTTAGTATTAGGGATGAGCAGCATAGCAGTTAAATTCTCTTGAAAAATTTGGGAAGAATTAGGAAAATTATATGCAGCCAGAAGTAACAAATTCAAAATTCTGCAACTGAGAAGGCAACTTCATTGTGAAAATACTTTAGCACAGCAGTAGGGACACTTACTTGGAAAAATGAATCATAAAGTAAATGGATTAAGAAACATTGCAGACAGAATTGATGATAGAGATTTGCCATGATTATTTTGTATGGATTGCCTGTGAACTGGAATGGTCTAACTAAGCTTGTTTACAAGGACAACAAGTCTGCTGGCAGAATCCAAAAGACATTGTTCTGATTTAAGTGAAGATGCCAGCACTACAGTTTTGAAAATTTTCTTCAAGGATACATAAGGATAAAAGACAATTCAATAAAGTAAATATTACTTGTTATAAGTATGGAGAAGAAAGATACTGTGAATAAATACTTAAGGAAAAGCAAAGCCAGAAATGAAAATAAGACACAAAAGTTTGAGAAGTAAGTAAGTCTTTGTATATTTACATTCTTCAATGCCCTGATGGAACAAGTCATGATACTTGGATCATTTGATTCTGAAGCTATGCAACATATGACTCCAACAAGAGATATTTCTTATATCTGAGGGAAGGATTGAGTGATCCAAAAATCATTAATGTTGTTCTATGATAGAAGTGGGTGGCATTGGACACCTTGTGCAAATATTAAAATTCATGGGAGTTGGACAGATTTGTTACAGAAAATACTATTTATGCACCAGGTATCAAACATGGCATTTACAGAGAACATTTACTCCAAATTACTAAGAACAGCAGAAAAGTTCTGTTTGATGACAGAAGTCATATTGTTGTTTTGGATGATATGATTCTCATCAAAGGTGAGAAACTGACAGAATATTCCTTATGAAGACAACTCTTTTTATTCAAGTTAGCATAAGGATAATGATGAATTCATTGCTGAGTTGCAAAAGTAATATGCTTTCCCTAGATTTCTGCATAAAAGGTTAATGCATATGAATAGAAAAGATATTAAAGATGGTCAAAACTAGAGTGTAAGAGATATTGAATTACAAACTTCAGAGCTGAGAAGAAAGAAAACTTTATAAAAAGGAAATCAGTGCAATAACCCTTCTCAAATTATCCAAATGGTGAATCAAAAATCCAATTAAAACAAGCAATTATTTATTGTGATGATGTCACAATGCCAGGCTGCAACTTTTAATTGTATTTTTAATTTAAAATACAGTATATGCTCTTCACCTCAAATTGGTAGCGTCTTGCCCCTGTACATCATACTTTTCCGTTATCAATAGAGTTGGGCCGGTCATCTATCTATCTCCTTTCAGGGAAATATTTTTGAATTGAAATAACATGACTTTTGGTTTGCACTGGAAGTTCATATATAGTTAATCAGGGCCTCCTGCCCCTAATCTTTCCATATCTGGTCTTGGCTTTCATCTATCTAATTCCGTTCTCGAGATTAAGGAAAGACAGATGGACAACAGTGGGAATTTATAGATCTACAATTTTTTCCAATTACATAAACTGGTGTACAGTGATCTGGGTGACTAGTCTCAAGTATATGAGTAACAACATGAATGTATTGAGAATATCATGTGGTATTAACTCATTCATTGAGAGTAGGGTTTCTCATTTCCCAGCCTTTAGCTTGTCCTGGGATTCCGGAAAAGAAGTGAACTGTTTCCCAGAATCCTGGGATATAATTAATTATTTTTAAGATAGAAAGTAAATCTTAAAATCAAATGATANTCCAAAATCATATTAATAATGCCGTGTAAGATATTTATACATATTAAAAAATTACCTTTGAATTACGTAAAAATTTTCACAAACAGAAAAAATTTACTAAAGTTTGTTGGAAACTGCTTACAACAAAAAAAAATGCCTTTGAATTGAGTTGAAAATCTAAAGAAAAAAATGAACTTAGATCAAATGAATAATGCCGTGTACTGTGTAAAATATGTATTAGAAATTACCTTTGAATTACATAGAAATTGTCACAACTAGAAAAAATTTACTAAAGTTTATTGGAAACTGCTTACAACAAAAAAAAATGCCTTTGAATTGAGTTGAAAATCTAAAGAAAAAAATGAACTTAGATCAAATGTCTAATTTAGACAGTATTTTTGTTTTTTTTAATAAAGCACAATACAAAATATTATTGTAAATTTTTGTAATAAGATTTTAAAAAGCAAAGATGGTTGATACTCCAATCACACAATCTGGTTCTTATTCTTTGAAAGAATTTTCAGAGTCCTGTCACGAATAGTCTACATATTGATTATTGACAATGTGTGACGTGCCATAATAAGTAAAAATTTAAAAAACTAATAAGCAGGCTTAAAATTAATAAATACAAATATATTCTGACAGTTTAAGTTAATTATACTTCTATTTGAAAAATTTCTTCAACTTCAACACAAAATAAGAAAAAAGTGAATTTTTAAGAAACTTGCAGGATTTCTTGGAATATTTCCAGGGTTAAAAAACAGCCGGGATCCCGTTGGAGAAACCCTAATTGAGACCATTCATTTAATGAGTTTATGACATGACACTCCTAATACATTCATATTATTACTCACATAACTCAAGACTAGGCACCATGATTGGTCCTTTTGATGTCCTGATGCATCCTCAGTATCATTGTTGAAGCCATATGATGCATGTACTGTACTTATTCTTTCTGAAGAATAAGGACAATGTCTTGAGTTATTTTAAAGAATGAAAGAAAGAAGCTGAGAAACACTCTCAGATGAGCCTAAATATTGGTTTAGAATTTTGTCCACGTTTGGGAAACTTTCTGCAAAGAACTGGTATTATATTATACATGAATGCACAATAATTTCATCACAGCAAAATGGGATAGCAGAATAAATGAATTGCACATTATTAGATTTTGTTCATAGTTATGGTACTCTGTGAATGTCAACTAACGAAAGCAACTTGGACAGAACTGACATGTAGAGCTGTATTATTAGAAACTATATTTTCAATATCAATAATAGAGAAGCAACTTTGGTTCAAAAAGAAATCAAATCTATTCTATGGCCATCAATTGCCAAGTCTTCATTTATATTTCTGAGCAAAAGAGGAAGTCTTAAATTGTATGCATATGCACTTGAAGGTAATCTTATTGATTAAATACTAGGGAGAGAATGGAGATTATGGGTTCTTGAAATGAAACATATAGTAGAATTCAGGAACTGTATATTTAGAGAGTGTGCAATAGAAATACTAACAAGGAATGTCAAATTCTAAAATTTCAACTGTCAAATTCTAAAATGAAGTTTTTCCATCTCAGACAGGAGTACTTGGAAAGAGCATGCAGCACTAATAGCTCACTTGGGAAAGCAAGCTCAGAAGAGACAGAAGATTCTACACAAAAATGCAAAGTTTGAATCATGAAGAAAGAGGATGAAAGATCTCTAACTCATCTGTTGTCAAAATACCATCCAATGATACTAAGGAATTAAAGAATGAAAATAGTGAGAAATCAGTTAGTGTATAGAATTAAAAGTGTCAGTGTCATATACAATTCAAGTGAGAGAAATCCAGTTGTTCTGATGGAAATTCTTATCCAAAATTTGTATGAAGCCCACAGTAATAAGTTATTGGTCTTGTGAAGTGGCCACTGAAGTTACTTAACAAGGTCATCCAGAGAAAGGGGCATGTTGCTCATTGGAAGTGTCTGATTATATATCATGTTACTAACAATCATTTCCATCCTTTTTGGTTGTTGCCATGTTCCTATCGGCATCATGTTACTATGCACATTTTTTGTTGTTCATTTACATTAAGTTAATTTTGTTTCAAAACATGGATAATAAACAGGTCTCTTAGATTATTGTCAATTAACATTATCCAATGAAATAAGAAAAGAATTTCAAAAAATAAATTTATAAATAAAATTACAGAAATAAAAAAAAAATTGTTAAGAAAAAATTCCAATTATAAAGTGTATTAATTTTATACTAATGTAAAATTTTGATTATCTCGCTTCTCAGGACCAGGAGCTGATAAATAGAAAAACTGTTAATGAAAATCTTCTAAAACTTTTTTATACAACGTTAGACATACATATGATATTCATATCTTTAATGTAAATACACAATATAAATACAATTATTGTAAAATATCAGTTTAGACACATATTCAAGTTAATTTTTAAGTAATCAGTAATCTGTATTTTTTTCATTGTTAACCTTCTTAGAAACAATACTGCAAATTGTATACAAACTTTACTTGTGTTGCCTGTGCTTCCTTTTGAACTTCAAAAATTTTATGCACTTTAACAGAATAATTTCAGTTTCACTGTAATTATGATTCTACATCTGTTTAATTTTGCATCCCACATTTTTGCACTTATCCACAGCTATTACACTAATTCTTTATCTTAACATATTGAAGAACTGAAGTGAAATAAGAAGCAAAATAATGTGGAATAAACATGTGCTGCAATTATTATTACCCAATTTCCCATAAAATCAGTGATGCAATGGCTAACAGAGACAGATAATCGAGTGACAGCTAACAGAAGTTTTATTACATCTGATTAATGTTACTTTCAGTTATTAAGCAGTACTAGGAATGTAAGTTTACAATTGTATTTAAAGAAGAAAATTATTTAACTATTCAGATTAAAAACAAAAAAAGGATATTATTTTTAGTATTGTTTTATAATAAATAAATTATTTTTTATAATAAAACATATTAAATATTGATTTTTTTAAACTAATCATTTTTATTTTACTTATTAACTGACAATTATTTTATTTCATTACAATAAATCTTTAATAACTAAAACTTAATAGTTAAATTTTTAAACCAAAAGAATAAATTTTTTTAATATCTTTCATATTGCTTTATTGATTCTGTTATTTTAAATCACTTTGTAAATATTCATATCTTATTATAATTTATCTTTATGTAAATTTGTAATCATCATGCATAAATTTCTGTTAATATTAATATTACATACATTGGATATAAAATTTTATGGTATGTGATTAGATTTATCATCTACATTACACTATTTAATAATAATTATGAATATTAATATAAATCTATCACCAGTCTAGTGACAGTATTTGTTAAATCATTATACCTAGTTCTTTGGAATCTAGTTTGGATAGGATTCAAATATGTATTCTGACAAATTTATATATATGTTTGATATTTTGGAAGAATTTTTTTTATTATTCCATCGTTTATGTTGATATATCAGTTTGGAGATGCAATTATTTTCAGGATGACAAATTGTATCACAAATTTGAGGCTACATTTAATTCATAAAGCTTAAATCATATTATTCCAGCATAAATTTTTAATATCTGATAAATAAAAGCAAATTAAAATAAAGCCATTTTAATTTAAATTCTTGGAATACACATGCAAATAAATTTGTAAAATCATTGTCAAGAAGAATTAAAATTATGATAAAAGGACATGAAGGTGAAATAAAATACTAAATAGAAAATGATTTTTGAATGCATGGCTCAAAATTTTTCTTGGCTAAATAAATAAAAGACAGAAGATAGCCATAAGACTAATGATTAATGTAGAAGGAACAGCTGTTCTATTCAAATTATTAGAATAGTGAATGTTGTTCATCTGAAGATAGATTAAAAATTCTGAAAAGCACTTAATTTAAATAAATATCCTGACTCTTTTAACCTGTTCAAATTTCTTTCTTTCCTTCAAAATTTTTCACTTTAACTAATTATAAGTATTATAAGTTACTTTAGTTATAATTAGGGTTTCTCTAACAGGATGCTGGGATCCCGGCTGTATTTTTAACCCGGGAAATCTTTCTCATCCCAATGACATTAAAAAGAAAAACTAATGTCCTAAGCAGAATTTAGAGCTGAAATAGCTGAATGTTTAGGTAGAATGGGACAATCAGACATGCCAAGAAAAAGAGGAAGGCTTTCTCAAGATATGGAAAATAACAAGAGAAGAAAGAGATTGGCAACAATTTCCTACCTACACTGAAAGATGTAAGGAAAGAAGACTTTTGAAGACTTCTACATATAAGATATACTTCCAAATTACACCTTTAAAATATAACGTTTGACTTTCATATTAATTTTATAAATACAGTGGAACCCCGATTAACAAACATCCTGGTTAACGACAAAATCGGCTAACAAACTTTTATTTTGCAAAAATTTTGTCTCAGATAACGAACTTAACGGTTTTTTGTGTCAAATTTATAAGCTTGCCGACTTTTAGGGAAAATCAGTTAATCATGTGTTGGTGATGGTCTAGGGTCCTTTCGTACGTTGGTGGTGGTGGAGGAGACAAAGATGACAAGTATTTTACAGTGAAAATCATTTATTAGAATGGGAAGATGCTTACATATTTGAGGAAGTTGGAAACGGCTTATCTACAGTATTTTCTCTCGGCACTGAGGAGTGGCGTATCACTGGTCCTATGGTAGTGCAAGCTGATCAGTCGTAGCCCCAGAACGGATGAGATGGGTTTGCTTGGTCACAGAAGCGATGGTAGGTGATAGAGCTGCAACGACTGGAGCGATTTGCGAGACACAACACAAATTTTAGCAGGCACGACTTTCAGGCTTAATCCAGATGAAGATGACACAGATTAATCGCCATAGAATTTTTAGGAAAACTGCATTTTGACCTTGAGATTCGGGATTTTTATAGTATTTCTTCCTTGAATCTCACCTTATGATTAGTCCTACGTCCCATTCCTCGCTTTCTGATTGTTTTCTTCTTTGTCTCCAGGTGAAAACCGAAACCAGATCAGGTCACGAGAAAGGTTTGTTCCGAGGCGTTTATTTGACACCTGTTCGTCGACTCTGATCAGAGATTGTTGATAAGCCTATAAGCTTTTTGCTCATAATTTAGCCTATTGTTTTTGCTATCTGTCATTTTAGAACTTTAATGATCGTATGTGATGTTTTTATACCCATCAAATCTTTCCCCTTTTCCAAAAATTTAACCTAGATCGACTGTTTGTGAGCACGTTTTCCTATATTTTCATTAAAGAAAACCCATTTTACAAATAAAATTACAAAAATACTGACGGCTAGAATGGATTAATTGTATTTGCATTAATTTCTATGGGAAAAATTGCTTCAGTTAATGAACGGACTCGTGGAACGGATTACGTTCGTTAACCGGAGTTCCACTGTACAGAATAGGTCAAAGTTTTTATTATAGGTTAATTTAACTTAATTACAGCTGATTTCTGTAATTATCTATACCATCTTAAACCACAAAACCAAAAATGGTTTTCCTAATCTCACATTTATTTGATTGATCTATCACATTTTCTAATGATATTTGAAGAGTATATATTGATACACATAACTATAATGATTTCAGTTATTTAATAAAATTTTAAGTTATTATAAAGTGGAATAATATGTTCAACAATTTTGTATTGAAATTTTCTGTTGTATTAAACTGTTTTTAATGAAAAAAATAAATGCTTCCACTAATAATTCTAGTCTTTTTTTATTTATAAGAGTAAAATAAATATGATTGTTAGAGCCCACCAATACATTCAAACATTTCAATAAATTAAGTTTCTGGATATGAGAGGCAACAGAATCATGATAATGATGATAGATATCATATTAAATAAATATATAGATATGGAATATGTTAATGAACATAACAAATTTTAGAGAAGATAAGAGATAAAATTCATTTTAAAAAGCATTTATGACATAAATAGTTTTATGGCTAATGTAGAAGATAAAATTGTAAAGATTTTGTTAAAGATTGATTGAATAAGTTGAAGTTAATTGGAAGGTTTTAAGGGGGGAAAAGTTTCATTTTACTTCAGTTCATCTAAAAGATATGGTTTGTGTGTTAAGAAAATTTGAAGAAAGAAAAGTAAATCATTGTAATCTCCTTATACATTCTAAAAGATATAACTTCATTTGATTCAATAAGAATTGTTCAGAAATGTGAATTTTCAACTAAATTGTTAAAATCTTTTAGGTTTTTAAATTTTTAGAGAAACTTTTTATTTATTAATTTTATTATTCCTACCTGTCAAGGTTATTGAATGCATTGATGAATCATTCTTATATAATTATTTATATATTGCATTTAAATAAAAATATATACAAATCATTAGTGCAAAACATAGAAGTTGTCAATTATATAACAGAATGAAATAATAAATTTTCAACAAGTCTGTATTATATTAAATTCTTCTGACATTTATGTATTCAGTTAAAATTGGTTAAAATATATTTAAATGCATAATTATTATTTCTTAATTTTACTGGAGGATGTTTTTTTAAATGAAACAAGTGTTTAAGTATTTCTTTAACATTGTTCAATGAAGTTTTTTCATCTTAATTGAATTAATTACAATTTACTTTTATCTAAACAAAATATCTATTTATTTGTATGCTTTTGGACAGTTGCCAAATAGTAGATATGTTTATTTAAAAAGAAATTATTATGAAGAGGGAAAAAATTTCATTATAAGTATGTATATATGCTAAAAAAAATAGGAAAATTTCCAGTTACAGTTTAAATTTTATTCTCTAAATTATTCAATTGACTGAATTTCCAGCAAAAGTTAAGAACAGAACAACCAAAAACTTGTCTTCAATTTTTTTGAAAAACAAAAACATTTAAAATTGATTGATCTTATATTTAAATTAGTCTTTAATAAATGCTGAATATGTCCAGAATATATTTAATCCATGTGTAAAATACTTGCAACTTCATAAAGATAAAGTAAATATATTCTGAAAAAATATGTATAAATTTATTTTAAAAGACTGGCTTCTTTTAAACTGTTCTTAAATTTTTTTCATTTGAACTTCATTATCCTAATTAAAGACTTTTTTTTTAAGAAATATTTTTGAATGTTTCAAATCCATATTTTAAAAAAGTACAAATTTATTTAGATAGGTTATAGTTTTGTGTTTCAAAGATAGTTAAAATTGGCTAAGCTTTAAAAGTGAAAAAGAGTAATTTTGTATAACTCTTAACAAATTAATTAACTAAATCTACTTANTTTACGCAATGTTGTTATTACTTAATTAAGCTGAACTAAGCTCTTAAAATCGCACGATGGTCATTACGTACTGTACATCTTAGGACAGTGGTTCTCAAAGCGGGTGCCGCGGCACCTTAGGGTGCCTCAAGAACGCCACAAGGGTGCCGCGAAATTTTTAAATAATTAAATTAAAATTGCTTAAAATAATTGAATTAAAGTATTAAATTAAATAAAAAATTAAAAAATACCTTTATAACAATAACTTTTGTTTTGAATGATTTTGTATTGTTTGGAAATAAACCTACTTACTTTAATAAAAAAAACTTTTATTTTTTTCAAAGTCTTCTCATCCTTCATATCTTTACTAACCGTAAAAAGCAAAATAATAAATAATAATAATAATAATAGGGGTGCCGTGAATTTTGTTTAATAATTTCAAGTGTGCCACCTGACAAAAAAGTTTGAGAAACACTGATCTATGTCATAGTTTCATTGATAAAATTATTTTGTTTTTAAAATAAACTGTAACTTAACTAAATTCTTCTTTTAACTGTATTTCTGTTTATACATTTTTTGCACAATAGCTTTTTTTAAAATAAAAAACCTGAAACTATTTATTATATGAAAAATGTTTTCTGAAATAGTTGCCTTATCTTCAATTCACTGCTGTCATATAGTAGTACCATATAATACAACAGACAGAAGTAATTAATCTATGTTCTGTATATGATATGATTAGACCAAAGATGGATCTATTAATTTCAAAAATATCTTATATTCATATAAAATAATCAGTCTAATGTTGTTATCTTGATGCTTTATGCATTTGCTCTCATTTGTTGATTACTAGTATGTTTTAATTTAAGAATAATAGTATTTAAGCATTTGTTGTTGAAGATCACACATTATATTATAGTAGTATATTTCAAAAAATTACTTTATTTGTATTACTGTTTGAAGCTTGTGATTCCACATTATTATTATTATTATGTTGCAAATGTCATGCTCAGCTAATACTGATGCCAAGTGCTATGTCAGACTAAAGTCAAAGCATAGTTACCCAAACAAGTGTAACATTAAGCTGTGTTATTGGTACATGCATCAAAATCTAGAAACTTCGTACAATGTGACATGGGTTCAATATTGCAGCTTTCTATAGTGCCAAGTACAGGTAACCCCTGTATAACACGGCACTTCTATAGCATGGATTCACGCTAACACAGTTCGAGAATTGGGAACATCCCCATATAACACAGTACTTTTATAGCATAGGTTCACTCTAACACAGTTCGGGAATTGGGTAAAACCCTCATACAACATGAAACGTAATAAAGGGTGTTCTTTTATACTTCTGTGCCAGCATTCTAATTTTTTTCATGGCTACTTTGAATGCTCTTTCAATAAATAATCCATTTAATGGTTAAATTTTACAATTAGTACCCTTCTTTTGCCTCTAAAAGCTCATATTTTAGAATTATAGATTCCTCCATCACGGTACTATCGATAGTGCAGGCACCGGCATCTTTCTTTCTTTCACCGTCATTTCTAAATGCCTACAAACAGCAATGCACTCTCGTTGTAGTGGAGATGCAGAGCAAATGCTATTAACGGACACACCCAAAAACTGTTACCAGTTGATGATGCTCATGCTGAGATCATCATATAGAATGAATAATCCTCTGGTAAAATATTTACTTAAATAATAAATAAGTATTTTACCCATAAAAAATATGAATAATAAATCTGATTTAAAGAAGGATTTAACAGCATGTTTTTTAATTTTGGGAACCTAACCCCCTTTTTGCACTAGTTCTTTGTTTTGTATAACACAGCAATTTTTTGGAACGTAACTCCCATGTTATACGGGGGTTACCTGTATATGTTTTTATTAAGTTTAATGTTTCTAGACTTTTGTGTAATATATGTGGTATAACACCAGTAGAAGAGAGAACAAAAGGTACAATAAATACTTTATCCATCCTC